AATAGATAAATTAGGAAATTTATAATTTTGGTAATTTTTAATTAAAATTTTAATGCAATGACATTTTAGGTATTTTCTATCCTCTCTCCTCTCTTCTCTCTACGTCCCCGTCTTCCGGCCACCATCCTCCGACCTCCGTCTTCCGGTGATACCACAGTATGATACTCAAGCACATATAAGATGCATTGTGATACCACTGTGTTACATATCCGATCGACCACACAAATGACCACAGTGTGATATCTAATAACATATAAGATGCATTGTAATACCACTGTGGTATCACCGGAGGACGGTGGCCGGAGGCCGGGGGACGGAGTCCTGGAGACGGAGAGAGAATAGAAAATACCTAAAATGTCTTTGTATTAAAATTTTAATTAAAAATTACCAAAATTAAAAATTTCCTAATTTATCTATTGATTTGTAGTTAAGATTTGACCTTACGATTACCACAAAATAATTAGTTTTTATTTGATTAGGCCCATATATATATATATATATATATATATAGAGAGAGAAAAAAGTGTGAAAAATAAATTAAAGGGGGATTTAATGGAAGAATCTCCAAACCACAAATATAGTAAGAAAAAGATGGTTTTTAATTTTATTTCCAAATGGAAGGCAGGAAAAGGAATGGAAGAAGGGGGACAAGGGGCCCCGGGTAGGAGGAGCTACTACTATATCTATAACTACATATTTATTTCTTAAAGTACATATCATTTATATCATATTTCTTTTAACTCTTAGGACTGTTTGGCGGTCGTTTAATGGTTTGGTGCAAAATGGTTAAGAGATCAGAATGGTTAAGAGGGTCATAATGGTTAAGTGTTGAATGAAATAACGTTGTTTGGTAATTGTTCTCTAAATGACAGTAAATTACCATTTTAACCCTCTGAATGATTTAGTACTGAATGAAATAGACCTGTTTGGCAGATATCTGAATAAAACAATTATTTTACAAATATAACTACATATTTCATATTAATCCAAACAAACGTAACATTATTAGTTCAAAACAAGATTTCATATTAGTCCAACCAAACATAATTTTTCAAATTCAGGAATAAACAAAAATATAACAATCAAATTCCAACATAATAGTTTTTGAACAATTCTTAATTTGACGGATTTAACATTAACTGATTTGCAATCTGGTAACGTAAATTAGCCATATATTGATTGTTTTGAGTCCCAAAAAGCATTCCATCCATGTCATCTTCATCGCCTCCCTCGATTTCTTCTTGTCCCTCGGCAATAAACATGGGGTCGTTTTCGTAGTCCATGAATAACTGATCGTGGATATTGCATCTTCGTATAAAATTATGAACTGCAAAACAGGCAATCACAACGTTCCTTTGTATGCGAAACGGTTAGGGAGCCATTTGCTTTAAAATTGGAAATCTTGCCTTCAAGACACCATAAGCACGCTCGATAACGTTTCTGAGTTGCACATGAGCATGGTTGAACCTTTCTTCTTTGGTCAAGGTACGTTGTCGTCGAAAATCAGCAAGCTAATACCTCGTATTGCGATATGGAGTCATAAAACCACGAGTATTGGCATAAGCAGCATCACAGAGATAATATTTATCTACAATCGAAATTTGTGTTAATATAAAATGTATAAGAAATGGTAAACATTTAAAGTTGAGTGAAAATTTTACATACCTCGTGGAGGAAATGGAAAGTCAGAGGTTGGACTAAAAGCAACTTCTCTCAACACTCTAGCATCATGTGCTATACCCTCCCATCCAGCCCAAACAAACGTGAAAAGCATATTAAAGTCACAAATACCTAAAATATTTTGATAACATTCACCTCTTCCTCTACCTCTATAACGAGCTTGTTGATCAACAGGCACGACTGCATGTACGAGAGTTCCATCTAATGCACCCATTGCCCCCTTTATTGAGAAATACAAATTAATTATAAATATAACAGGCTTGTTGCTTTTACATAATATAATAGAAAACTTACCGAAAATATTTGTCTGAGGTTTCTTTGACGTTCTGATGTGTTTTGTGTTGCCTCAGAGGATGTCGGTCGTATAACTTCTTTTGCAAATTTCATCATTGCTCGTAGCACTTCACGAAAGTTTCTATGAATAGTCTCCATAAAGTGTTGAAATCTCCGTTTAACCATTCTAAAGCGTTCATTATGGCCAATAATTGTCAAAAATATATCTTCTCCTCGACGGTGACATTCCTACTATCCTGCAACCAATTTTTTTCTTTAAAATGGTTGCATAATAGTATATACGCGTCCCGAGAAAGCCGCATCAATTCAATGCATTGTGTATTTGATCCGGCTAACAATTCTAGTGTATATGCATGTCCAGTTAAGGCAGAAGTGTTATCTCTTATTCGTTCTATTCTTGAAGAAAGTTTGTATTTCCAATACCAATAGATGATCATAACTAGCAAAGGTTCTTCTTCAAAATCCATGTATTACCTTGAAACACATATTAAGCACATGAGAAACACATGTATTAAAGAGGAAAACCATAAATAAACACAAATCCATTCCATAACACATTTTACCATAAATAAATCCATTCCAAAACACATGTTCGAATCCAAAAATAAACACAAATCCAAAAGACATGTTCGAATCAATAGCATGAAGTTTAATTAAAACACATATCCTCCCAAAAACATAGTCTAATCAATCCCACCAACTAAAGTAGTCCGTAGTTGCGTCCCATAAGTCTAATCCAATTCTCACACTTCGTTGGTTCTAAACGCATCCACATTTTCCTATAGTCAGCATTTTCGGCTAAAACAAAGAGTGCTATATCATGCAACGGTGTATCCCATCCAAGTTCCTCTAACTTCTTCAAGCAATCATCAATGTCATCTTTTGCTCCTCCATGCTTCTCTAGCATAACATTCATAACTTTCAAAATAGTTTCTTCAACTTTCGTTTTTTTTTGAAATACCTATTTCTTTAGCTGTCCGCTTTTTGCTTTGTACTGGAGGACGATAAGAACACTCTTGAGTTGAGGGTGGCCCCCCGGTTTCTTGAGTTGAGGGTGGTGCACCGGTTTCTTGTGTGTCAGGTATATCTTCATTCAAGTTGGGATCAGAGTTATAAGGATCATGAATTGTAGATGTTGTTCCATAACTCTCAAGCCCAACACTAGCAACTCCATCAAATAGTTGCACACAGAGTTCAGGGTAAAGCAGTCAGGTACTTCTCAATGGTTCCATGTATTTACTTTGCTGTTTAAAAAAAATTTATATCCATATAAAAATATAACTATGTAAAGAATAAGAAATAAATTGACTGAAATTTCTATCTTCCATTCTTCATCGGATAGATTGAAGGTGTTGGTTGATGGATCGTAGACATTGCCCRTTTTGTTTTTCAATTTAGACCATGCTGCGTATTTTCCCTTTAGGTAATCGTAGTGATTTTTCATTTGTCGTTGGTCGATGCTAATGTTATGTTTCCTTTTCAATTCTTCTCCAACATTCTTCCACGACTGTGACTTAAGACTACTACCTTCTCGTCCATTTTTAATTGTCTCGTGTATACAAGCTTCAAGAAATGTTTGGACCAACCCTTCCTTTTTCCATGTAATCCTACGTTTCTTTTGGTGCCAAGATTCACCAACCAATTCCATACCTAATCCAAACAATTTTATAACAATTACCATAACCATAACAATTACCATAACCATTACCATTATAATCACCATTACCATAACAAGTCAATAATTCAATTTATTAACTTTATCAAGTCAAGTCAATAAATGAACAAGTCATACAATGTAGTGAAAATATGTCCAAAGCATACATTTGAAGCTCAAAGTAGTGAAGAAATGTCCAAAACAGTGTGTAGATCCAAGAAAGTCAAGAATTCAATTTATTACTCCAAGAAGTACAAATTTGGAAAGAAATGTCCAAAACAGTAGGCTTGTGGAATTTCAACATACAGTGCATAACCCCATGAAATTTCAGTGCACATACAGTAGGCTTGTGAAAAGATAAAGCATAACCCCATGAAATTTCAACATACAGTGGATAACCCCATGATATTTCTGTTGGTTTCCTGGAAAATCAATAACCATGTCTAGATAATAATCTGTTGTTTCCACATAGAATGCATAACCTGGCTTGATAATAATCTGTTGTTTTCTTTTCCTTGGGGTATACCTGAAGCAGTAGGGGCGGAATAATACCTGAAGCTTGCGAGAAAAAGGATGGAGGCGACCGGAGACGGCGACGTGAGGCAGCAATGAGAGGCGGCGACGACAGACGGCGCTGGAAGAAGCCGACGTGAGACCTGCTGGAAGAAGAAGACCGACGATCGTAGGGTGGGGGGAGGGGCTGTGAGCGATGTGTGAGGAACGTTGAGAGAGAGGACAAAGTTGGAAAAAGATAAATCTTAATGGTTTAGAGAAGCCCTAGATGCAAAATGGTTAAGAGGGGTAATGTAACCATTAAGAGCCATTTTTTTTGCCAAACAACCTTGACCTCTTACCGATTAAGAGGTTGGCTCTTAATGTAACCATTAAGAGCCAAACAAACAACCCCTTAATCATATTAACTAATATAGATAGTTAATTTCAGATAAAAAGGCAAAAAAGAAGAATATTTTGACAAATTAATTGACTTTTAAATCATTATTGATGATTTATGTTAACTAAATTAACTTAAGTTTTGATCTAAGTAATATAATTATAAATAAATAAGTTTAAAATGTTTCATTGGCCATTTGGTGTAATTTAGATTTATATAAGAGTGAAAGGATTTTTGTTAAGTTATAATATGAGATGGGAGATGCAGAGAACGCAAATTTATAAGCTAACTTGAAGTCTACATCGTGGGGCAATAGGGTCATGCTCTTTTGCAGGGTCTAGGGGCAAGTGTTGCTTCATATGGTATGAATCCAGTGTTGACTAGATCTGAAGTTGTTGGCTTTAACTTTAATGTTTGTCTCTAGTTTCTAGCCTTCACTATACCAACGCCTTAACGTGTTACCTAGTCATTGAGATACTTGTAACACCCTCATTTTTTTTTTCTTTGTGAGAATGTCACGTGATCTGAAACAATTCTTAAATACATACTCCAAAAGACGGCTAACATAAAACCGTTTGAACTGTTTACAGCGGAGGTCCTTGAACCGTTCAAAAATTTACTTAAGTTCTAACCCACCTCATATCGGGTTAAGTTACAAAGATCAACACAACGTCAAAAGACTAAACATAAGATGATAAGTAGCGACTCTCTAAGCGTGTCCTTTGCTCTTATCCAATCTCCAACTACCTGGCCCTGAGATGCATACTATAGTCAGCTTATAAAGCTCAGTGAGTTCATGGTTTGCGTGAATAAAGATCATTTCACATCATACATATCAACTTGTAAACTTTGTACCAAAAGTATGCATTTTCAGAAAAACATGCAGCACTGAAATAACAGAGATCTCATAACTTGTCTGTCGGGTGTGAGTCATTTAGTCACAAACACGCCCTGGGTTCATACTTCAATCTTAATTGATCACCCACTTGTCCGGGTAGTGTTTTATACTGGTCGTGACTTGCTGGTCAAATGCTCACCCGCTAAAACTGATCATAAAACTTTCATATGATATAACATGCTAGAGTTATTTGAAAACTGCTTAAACACATAGCATGCAACTGATAAAAAAAATGACATACATGTAAAATATATCATGTATGTAAAGTGAAACATCATGTATATGTACCCGTTATCATATAAATCATATAATGCTCGAAAATAAATTTATACATAGGTATGCATCCCATTGTAASTCTCATGAAGACTCACCTATTAACGTAGATTGCTTAACTAAYGTCACTGTCTGGCAACCTACAATTTATAATAGTAAATAGCATATAAATGATTAATTTCTCCTAAAGGTTAACATAAAGGTCAACTTACGGTCAACTATGTTGGTTAGGGTCAACCTTGGTCAACTATGCTTAAGAACGTTCTTCACGTCAACAAAATTATAGGAACGTGAGTTCAGACACAAGGTGTATCATCTAGCTATATACCTTAAACGACTAAGTCTGGAAGAAGACCAGAGCCTCTGTGGACGGCCAGAGCCTCTGGTTGCATTGACAGAGCCTCTGGACTCTTAAGTCCTTTAGGCTAGAGCCTCTGTGGTTGTATTGACAGAGCCCCTTTGCTTGTGCACCATAAGAAAATAATACATCATCAAGGCCAGAGCCCCTCTGGTGGTCTCTCTTCCAGAGCTTCTGGTCTCACGACTAGAGCCTCTAGTTGAATCATACTTAGCAATTATATTTCACATCAAGGACAGAGCCCCTCTGGTCTCTCTTCCAGAGCCTCTGGTCTTCATGACCAGAGCCTCTGGTTCTTAGCCACTTAGAAATTATTTCAACATAGGACCAGAGCCCCTCTGGTCTCTCTTCCAGAGCTTCTGGTCCCAAATCATACTTGGAAAAATAATTCAAGGGCCAGAGCCCCTCTGGTCTCTCTTCCAGAGCCTCTGGTCTCGCGACCAGAGCCTCTGGTTCTTAACTAGACTTAGAACATATTTTCGAACCTAAGACCAGAGCCTCTGTGACTTAACAAAAAAATTATTTCAACATTAAGGGCCAGAGCCCCTCTGTGGTTTCTTCCAGAGCTTCTGTCTAGCACTAGATACAGAGCTCTCATGTAGAGCTTCTGTATGACGTGACTTGATACAAAGCTCTCATGCAGAGCTTCTGGCTAACACAACTTGATACAAAGCTCTCATGTAGAGCTTTTGTATAATATAACTTGATACAGAGCTCTCATGCAGAGCTTCTGTATAACATTCTTTAAAAATGGTTTTTAAACAGAATGCGATACAGTGTGTTTACCAAATGAAATCTAAATTTTGAAATCGAATCCTAAAATACGAAGTTTGGACGTGGGCCTTCATAGAGTTCTACACAGGGTCAAAGGTACATCTAAACATTGTAACAACATAAATTTTGGTTGAGCATTTACCTCTAAATGACGGGAAAACAGGGGGTTTTTGCCTAGTCTTGAACTCCGGTTTTTCTCTCTCAAGCTCGACGATTTCCTTCTTCTTTTAAAAGAATGGCGACCCTAAACCAGTGCCCATAATTTATACTCAAACGATTTGGTCTATTA